TAGGGTTTAGGGCTTAGGGTCTAGGGTTTAGGGGACGAATGTAGGGGATAAGGGCATACATGGGGGGGGGGGCCTTAGGGATGAGGGCGTAAGGGTAGGTCTAAACCCTACAGTAAAACCTCAACCCTAAACCCCATGAGGGCTTAAGGCTTTAGGGGTTCAGGGCCTAGGGGTTTTGGGAAGTTTGCGGCTCGGTTTTGACGACGCCCTCGGGAGAAGCAAAGGAAGAAAGCTTTCACAAAGCCCGAAGCCCTTAAAGTTTGGTTACGGTTTAGGGTGTAACCCTACACCCTAAACCCCAAACCCTAAACCCTAAACCCTAAACTCCAAGCCCTAAACCCTAAACCCCGACCTCAACTCCACAACAGAGGAAGCAGACATCGAAGCCGGGCCGCATGGTCGCACATGACGTGGGTGAGCATCTGCGAGGACTTGAAGCCTGCGAACTTCCGTGTTTGGACGAGGGGGTTAGGGTTTAGGGTTTAGGGTTTCGGGTTTAGGGTTTAGGGTGCAGGGTGTTTAGTTGTTGAGTGCGGGCTGGCCTCTTCTAAAGCTTCCAGAAAGGCAACGCGAAGATGTGCAATACACATCCGCGCTGAACAACCTACGCCCTAAACCCTAAACCCTAAACCCCAAACCCTAAACCCCAAACCCTAAACCTCCTAAAGCCCTACACCCTAAACGCTAGAAGAACACAGGAGGCCTTGAAAGGGTCAGCGGCTTGGGGAGTTGTTGTGCGTGACAAAGGACATGTACCCGTGGGCAGGTTTCGGGTTTAGGCTGTATGTAGGGCTTGGGACGTATAGGGCTCAGGGTAGGTTTGGGGTCTGTCCAAATAGGGATCTCTCCAGACAACGCTTCTGCATTCAGACTTGCCAACAAAGCATCGAACTCATCATCGCCTGTCCATGCCTGTGTGGGATCGAGACCCATGTCTAGCATGTGATTGGCCAGTTCTGGGTCCTTGAAGAAGACGTCTTCGTTGCCGGGAACCGTAACCGGTTCAAATGCGTGACAAGAACTCGCAGCTTCTGTAGGCTCCATTGGGCAGCCACGCCCTCCTCGGCCAAGTGCTCCAGCTTTGGGTTTAGGGTTTAGGGTTTAGGGTTTAGGGTTTAGGGTTTAGGGTTTAGGGTTTAGGGTTTAGGGTTTAGGGTTTAGGGTTTAGGGTTTAGGGTTTAGGGTGAATCTCGCATCCCTCAAGCTCTGGGGGGCTGCTTACTTGGTCTTCCTCCCATTCGCGTTTCTCGTTGGGTTTAGGGCCTAGGGTTTACGGGTTTGGGTTTAGGCCTTAAAGGGCTTGGGGCTTGGGGGCCTTACAGAAGCCTGTCTCTGAAGCTGTAGCCCGCATACGACTCTTACACAAAAGAAGCTCTCCTCCAGGACTTAGCTCGAAACCCGAAACCCTAAGCCCTAAGGCCTAAACGCTATGAAACCTGGCGGGGGGGGGCAGGGGTCCTTCAGGACATGGGATTTGGGAGGCCCGCCCTAAACCCAAAACTCTGAGCCCTACACCCTCAAACCCTGGGGTTTAGGGTTCAGGGTCTAGGGTTTACCCCACACTCAAAACAAAAAAGACACACAAAAACAATCACAACTGAGGGACGTGTAAGCAGCGATCGGGCCTGGTGAGTTTTTTTTTTTTTTTTTTTTTTTGGGGGGGGGGGGGGGGGCAATCTCTGCTCGATTCCTGTGAGTTCAGCCCCGTGAGTATTGAAGCGCTTGAACCCTGAACCCTAAGCCCTAAACCCCAAACCCCAAACCCTAAACCCTAAACCCTAAACCCCAAACCCTAAACCCTAAACCCTAAACCCTAAGCGCTAAGCCCGGTCCAGGGGCCCTGCCTTCCCACCATTCCGATAGCGCGGCCCAGTAGGGGGCGATGTTTGCCTGGTAGAGGCGCGAACCCTAAACCCTAAACCCTAAACCCTAAACCCTAAACCCTAAACCCTAAACCCTAAACCCCAAACCCTATAAACCCTAAACCGAAGTAAAACCTATGTAGGCCCTAAACCCCCAACCCGAAAAACACAGGAACAACCCTAAACCCTGAACCCTGAACCCTGAACCCTAAACCCTAAACCCTAGGGATATGGATAGAAGGGGAGCATGGAGCATCCGGGGACAAATGTTGGCATTTCGTGAGGCTCCGGTGTCACCGTGTTTCAACTAGGGACCTTGATCTGGCTCTCAACCAATCTTGGTTTAGGCGTTGGGGTTTATGGCAATCGTGAGTGCAACTCTCAACCCTGAAATAATGTGCAACCAATGTTGCGCAAGGATCAGTCCAGAACCTGCACCCTTCACTTAAAACCCCAAACTCCTTGGTTCTGAAGTTGAGGCCCTCTAAACCCCCTAAACCCTCGAAACCTCCTAAACCGTAACCCTAAACCCTAAACCCTAAGCCCTAAACCCTAAACGATTCTAAATTGGAAAGATGGGAGCCAGGTATCTCATAAGCCACGTTTTAGGATCTGCGTTCGAGGCGGTTGTTAGGGTTTACAGTTTAGGGATTCCAGAGAATTGCGGTGTCCCTAAACCCTGAACCCTAAACCCTAAATGCCTTCCTTTGCCTTGGGAGGGGCCTTCTAGGCCTACGGAGAAAGTGGGCTCCCAAAGAGCCCCAGCAGCCCAGCAGGGCGATGGTTCACCATGGGCAGCCTTTGCGCGCTCCATGCGGCGTTGCCGCACCGTGGCTGCCGGTAGGGTATAGGGTTTAAGGTTTAGGGCTTAGGGCTTAGGGCTTAGGGCTTAGGGTTTAGGGTTTAGGGTTTAGGGTTTAGGGCTTAGGGTTTAGGGTTCCTGCACCTGGCCACGATGTGCCATCACGATACCATATTCTAAGCAAAATCACTTGCAAACGCCGATCGGCCTGTAGCAATGTCTGGATGCACACGGCAGTTTCAGTGACGTCCCTGTCCGAAACTCCGTGGATATCAAGCGACGGGATATGTCCAAAGGCAGGCTTAAGCTCGAGCGCCCTTGAATCGCCTCCGGCGTACTCAGTAAAAGAGATAGCGGGCGGCCGCACAGCAGGTCTTGCCTTGGCCTTGGGCCGGTAGACAAGCAGGTTAGGCTCTGGCGAAGACTCCTCCGGCTCAACCCAAATCACAGCTGGCGATGAACGCACAGCCGGTGGTGGAGTGCGGGCAAGAGAACGCTCCCTCGTCTCCCCCCAACACCGCCCGAACCCCGGCAACCCAAACTTGGGTTTAGGGTTTAGGGTTTAGGGTTTAGGGTTTAGGGTTTAGGGTTTAGGGTTTAGGGTTTAGGGTTTAGGGTTTAGGGTTTTGGGTTTTGGGTTTGGGGATGTTCCCACCCATACGAACAGTCCTTAATGGGGATTATCATCGGGGGCAATATAATCCCAACTAGTGACTGATAGTGTAAGGGGGAGCATCCCAACCTCAACCCCAGAACATGAAACCCGAGGCCTTGCCGACAACCCTGGCACGCTTCAGCCCTAAACCCCATAAAACTCCAAAATCTAAACCCTAAACCCTAAACCCTAAACCCTAAACCCTAAACCCTAAACCCTAAACCCTAAACCCTAAACCCTAAACCCTAAACCCTATATTATAAAACTCCAAAATCTAAACCCTAAACCTGAACCAGCTCACAAGCCCAAGCCAATCCAAAGAACAGGCCTGAAATAGCCTTAGCTAGGCGTAAATATCCCTGAATAGCCTTAATTATGGGGAACCTAGGGGAGGTAGCCCTAAACCCTAAACCCTGAACTCTAAACCCTAAACCCTAAACCCTAAACCCCACATAGGAAAAAGGGGGGTAGTAGGGGAACCCCTGACTTAGTACCTCGATGTCTTCCATCACCTTCACATCGTCCGAGTTCGAGCTGTCCTGCGTGGCGTTGTGGGTTTCCTTGTTTTGGCCTCAGCCCTGAACCCTAAACCCGAAACCCCTAAACCCTAAACCCTAAACCCTAAACCCTAAACCCTAAACCCTAAACCCTATAACCCTATAACCCTATAACCCTAAACCCTAAAGTCAAGACTCTACCCTCTATGACTTATCTCGCCGTGCGGAACATGACCCATCTCTAGAAGACCCGAGGAAGTCCCACTCCCGGCTCACGGGGTCTATTTTTTAGAGTTTAAGGTTTAGGGTTTAGGGTTTAGGAAAAGGTGCGTCCAAAAAGCAAGGGTTTAAGCTTTGGGGTTCAGGGTTTAGGGTTTAGGGTTTAGGGTGTTCTGGGCACAGATTACAGACTGCGTACTACCAGCGCATATAATTACACTGAAGTGACATAATCTGTCCGCCCGATCATAATCCCAGTAGTACGTGTAGTCCGTGTAGTGGACGTCATAGCAGCCAAAGTACTATGTCGGCAGTCTTGCATGTATATCGGCAATGATGAAAAGGATTTATGGTAGTGTTGATAACCAGATAGTATTAGAGAGAGAGAGATAGTCTTGTCGTTGTTGTCGTTGTTGTCGTTGTTGTTGTTGTTGTTGTTGTTGTTGTTGTTGTTGTTGTTGTTGTTGTTGTTGTTGTTGTTGTTGTTGTTGTTGTTGTTGTTGTTGTTGTTGTTGTTGTTGTTGTTGTTGTTGTTGTGTTGTTTGTTGTTGTTGTTGTTGTTGTTGTTGTTGTTGTTGTTGTTGTTGTTGTTGTTGTTGTTGTTGTTGTTGTTGTTGTTGTTGTTGTTGTTGTTGTTGAGAAAATACACACTTCCCGAGTCCTCCAGACTTGATGTGCAGACAGCATGACCAACTTCGGTTGGCTCAAGGATCAAGACTTGATGCCTGTGCGAAAACATACTTGCAGCTTCGGATATCTCACTTGTGTTGTTGAGCTCAGTGACCTCAGTTACTTTTTCATGGTAGCGGAGCTGAAAGCTCCAGTAGAACTTTGGTAGAGCCCAAATGTCACTTGAAGGAGAGAACGACTTCACCGGTAAGCTTAGGCTACCGTTGCCACCGACTTTCTCAGGTAAACCTGCGGAATGGGAAGAATGGTCGTGGAAGTTTCGCGCGTACTTGTCGATGTTTGATGCACAGGCTGCAAGGTACTTGGAACAGCACGAGAATGATGAGGCACCGCTCACGGATGAGGCACTTGAGGTGCACGTGCTTACAGAAGAAGGTGTTGCAGCACTTGATCAGACCGCGACGGCAGGTAGAGTCACTTTCAGTCGGAAGTTGCATTATCTGCTTGCGAACTTGACGTCAGAGTCGGCATTGCTTGTGGTTCGTCAGAACTACGACTCGAATGGGTTTGAGACTTGGCGTCGACTTGTCAAGAAGTTTGCGTTGCCAGATGCTGCGAGGCATGTTTCACTTCTGACGCAGTTGCTTGACTTTCGGTTTGGGTCGCATACGTTCGAGCAGGATTTCAACACTTGGGAGACGATCAAGACAAAGTATGAGCGACAGACCGGTGCTGACTTGCCTGACAGCGTGCTTGTCGCTACGTTGTTGAATAAGACTTCCGGTGCGCTCCAGCAGCACTTGAGGTTGAATGCTCGGACCTTGACGACTTACGAAGACATCAAAGCCACGATAGTCGAGTACTATCAGTCCAGGCACTTGATCATGAGCAACTCGTCTTCGTCGAATCAAGGCCCAGCACCAATGGACATTGGAGGACTTAAAGGAAAGAAAGGCTTCGGCAAAAGTGGCTTCGGCTACTTTAAAGGAAAAGGAAAAGGAAAGAGCAAGAGCAAAGGAAAGAACCCACACTTGAGTTTTCACACTGCACAGAAAGGAAAAGGAAAAGGAAAGGACTTTGGAGGAAGCAAAGGAAAAGGAAAAGGCAAGAGCAAAGGAAAACTTCGTGGTCAGCATGCTTTGGCTTGTTGGACTTGTGGCAAACCAGGACATGTTTCGGCAAATTGTCCACTTGGTCGTGTGAGTGCGGTTGATGAGAATGCCACTTTGGATGGCTCGTTTGAAGATTGGTCAGTCGATGACACTTGGCAAGTTGGTGACTTTGAGGAAGAATGGTGGAGCGATGACTTAGTCGCAGCGGTAGGACTTGGTTGGAGTGATGAGGAATGGTGGCCTGCATGGGACGATGGTTGGTCGTCCACTTGGAGTGATTGGAACGACGACACTTGGAGTGTCGTGTCGCCACCACCTGCTGTTGAGAAGGCTACTTCAGCCCCGCCATCGCATGCTGCGGAGCCGAAGGCAACTTCGGGTGCCCCAGTGAGTGCTGTCACTTTGGGAACGCCGCCTGCGAGACTTTCCTCCGCGGCGAAGCCCAAGGCGACACCCAAGGCTACTTCGAAGGCCTCTGGACTTGCCATTGCGGCAATTACACTTGGGAGCATGTTTGCTGGTACGCAGTCGTGTTTCGTTTCGCCAACTTGTGATGCATCGCTTGATTGCATGTTGAGTGGAAGCATTGTGTTTGATGGCTTTGGTCGCTCACTTGGTGCACGAAGTGATGTGGCCACTTGGCAGTTGTCCCCTGTGTGCGACTTGCCGTTGAAGAATGAAGCGAATCAAACTTCGCTCTCGAATCCGACTTCGTTGTCCGATTGGGGTTTGGAGCACTTGAGTTCCACCTTCTATGACCCCTACTTGGCCGAGCATGAGGTTGCTGTTGCATCAGTTGAGACAGGACTTGAGACTTGGATCCTGTTTGATTCCGGTGCTGCAGCAAATTGCTGTCCCCCGGACTTTGCTCCGGACTTCCCGTTGTTGAAACTTGAAGAACGAGCACCTCCGCTTAAGAGCATTTCAGGCCAGACTTTGCAGATCTATGGTCGAAAGCTTGTTGCCTTTGAGTTGGATGGTCAGCGACTTTGGTTGAACTTTTATGTGTGCGATGTACCGTACAGTGTGATTTCAGTCGCTAGACTTTTGCAGCAAGGATGCAAGGCAGTGTTGACATCTGAGGGATCTCAGCTTGAAGGTCCCACGGGTGCAACTTTTCCTGTCACAAGACATGGTTCACTTCTGTTCTTGTGTCCGACGCTTGCTGAATTTGATCCGAATGAGTATGCAGACTTCAGCAAAGGATTCCATGAACAGTTCGCAGTGAGACCTCCTCCTGGACTTGTTGCGCCGACCCTTAAGCCCACGTACTACCACGCGGACAGTTGGGTACTTGATGAGGCCAACGCAACCTTGACGAGGCTTCACAAGCGTGGTCGAGCAACTTTGTTTTCTCCCGAAGGAACCAAGGATCGGCCGGTTGAGTTGAAAGACTTGACAGGTGAACGTGTGACAGTCATGAACTTTAAAGATGGTTCGTCTAAAACCTTGAATGATGATTGGCGAAAAAGTGATGATCCCCGAGCAAAGCAGGATAAGTACTTCAAGGGCAAAACCGTCTTCAAACTTGCTTCGAAACCAACAGGTAGGAGACTTGTAGGCAAGCAGTCAACTTTGCCCCGTCCTGAAGTTCATGTTGAAATGCCACCGCCTGTCCCAAGTTCTAGGACTTCAACCCAGAAACTTAGTCCAGAAGTTGTCCTGCGAGATCATGGTGAATATGCTGATACTTTCCGAAAGCGAGTGTTTGACTTGGTGGCGGATGAAGCAGTTGATCCCATGAAAGGTCTTGAGAACTTTGTGAAGAGATCACTTGATGATGTGGATCCACAGACCAATGAGGCCTACACCCACGACACTTGGGTGCAGTTGCCAACCATGTGGATTAGACTTCACCGTCAGCCACGAAAGAACTTGTTCGTGCCTTCAGAGCGTTCCGAAGGCGGTCCGAACTTGAGCGAGTTAAGCAAAGCACGGGTTACAATACAACTTGACGATCATGGGAGCATGAAGGTTGATGAAGACGATTGGACACTTGAAGGTGCAGATCGTGACGTTGTTGAACCCTTTGCTTGTGGTGGTGCGACTTGCTTTGAGAAGCGTGACTTGTATGTCAAGGAGATTCCCGAGGTGGCCGAACCTGACTTGTTTGAGACATCGGCCCGGCGACCGAGAGGACTTCCTGCGCCCTCGGAGCCGACGCTCACGGAGCGTAAAGAGCATGAACTTACGCACCTGCCTTTTCGTTCTTGGTGCCCGATTTGCGTCCGTGCAAAGAGCAAACAGAACCACAGCAGGACTTTGAAAACGAAGCAGCCGGTCGTTCAACTTGACTACTGCTTCCTTGGAGATAATCCTGAAGAGCCCCAGGTTACTCTCCTCACCGCTGTGGACTTGCTGTCGGGCATGGGACTTTCGTGCGTTGTTCCAGCCAAAGGCCGCTCTGTCTATGCTCAGGCAGAACTTCGGAGATACATCCTTGAAATCGGGCGCACTTTTGGCATCTTGCAAATCGACCCCGAACCCTCACTTAAGGCTTTGGTTGCTGAGTTCACTTCGGAGGTAGGCGGACTTTCGGTTCGTCATTCCCCAACAGGTTGGAAGCAAGCCCAAGGAGCAGTTGGAGTGCTTCAGTCTAACTTGTATGCCCAAATACGCACCCTCAAGCTTGACTTAGAGGGAAGGTATTCTGGGTTCACCTTGCAGAAAACCCATCCGTTGTTCACTTGGCTTGTAAAGCATGCGCAGTGGTTGATGAACCGATATGCTCACAAAAGTGACGGACTTACTTCCTTCGAGAAGCGCTGGGGAAAGCCGTATAACGGCGCACTTTGTCGATTTGCGGAGGTTGTTCACTTTCGCAAAATTGGCAAATTTCCCAAATCGGACGCGGCTTGGGAAGAAGGACTTTGGCTCGGAAGAGACACAGAGTCCAACCAGCACTTCGTTGGGACACCCCAGGGTGTGATAAAGATCCGTTCACTTCGGCGTAGACCGCCGTCTGAGCAGCTCGACTTGGCACTTGTGCAGTCCCTGAAGGCAACGCCCTGGGACCCTAGAGGCACAAAAGTTGAGACAGATCACTTTGTCTTTCCACCGCAGCAGCCGAGACCTGGAGAGAACTTGGTTGAGCCACCAGACGATCCGGATGCCATTCCGGAAAACTTAGGAAATGCTGGTGACCTGGCGCAAGAACTTGAGCAAGACATGTTGCGTGAGCTTCAGTCGACTTCGGAAACCCGCGCGGCCGCCGACTTGCCAGTGCCTGAGGGACCGATGGATGCTGAAGAACTTGCAGAGAGGCAGGACAAGCGCAGTCATGAGGAACCTACTTCCTCCGCTGAAAGAGCTTCCTCTGAGCCTGCGACTTCGCGAAGGCGCGTAGGCGTCACGACGGAGCGCAAGCGCGACACTTCAGAGGTCCCTGAAGCAGCGACGAAAGTGCAGCGCATTTCGTCACTTGTCCGCTCGCCTGACCAGCAGATGCGAATTTTCGACTTGAGAATTTCTGCCGTCACCACGAAGCAGGAACTTGAGGTTCCTGTGTGCGTCAACCAAGATGAAACAGAGATCTCACTTGCTGAGCGTTTGAGCAATCCCTTGTTCTGGCAGTCGCCTGAATTCACTTACGAAGAAGAAAAAGCTGGCATGAACAAGGAAATGAAAAGCATGATCGACTTCGACGTCTTCACGGAGCAGAAAATGTCAGACCTGACGCCAGAGCAACTTGCGACTGTAATATCCACAAAGTGGGTTAAAGTTCGCAAAGGCGATGGCACTTGTCGATGTCGACTTGTTGTCCGTGGTTATGACCAGCTCATTGATGATCCGGATGACACTTATGCGTCTACGCCCAGCTTGTTGACGTTGAAGACCTTGTTGACTTTGGCGGTAGCGCGTGGTTGGCACATCACTTTGGCAGACATCTCCACGGCGTTCTTGCATGCGTTGGTGGAAGGCGATGTTTGGGTACTTCCTCCTGTAGAGTATTACCCCGAAGGGGGTGTGGTTTGGAAACTTAAGCGTGCGCTTTACGGCTTGAAAAATGCTCCTGCGCTGTGGCAGACCCACTTGGCAGCTACACTTGAGGCGCAAGGTTTCCAGCGCATGAAGAGTGATCCGAACCTTTACTTTCATGCAGGTCGGAAGGTTTATGTGTTGTGCTACGTTGACGACTTGATGTTGTTCGGCGCAAAGAAGGACGTTGATGCCATTGTAGCTTCACTTCAGAAAGAGTTGCTCCTGCGTATAACCGGTGAGCT